GATGTCACCCACGGCGGTGGCAGGAGAGTCCTGCCCCGTGTTGGAGGTTGTCTCTGGGGTTTTTTGGGAGGTTGGTTTGGCTCCATCTCCTGCCCAGATGGGATTAAAGGATTTGGTGCCACTGGTTTAAGGATGAAGGGATCCAGATGTGAGGGTTCGGATGCATGTGCAGGAGTGATGGGGGGAGAGCGCCGTCATGGATACATTTACATTCTCTTTTACAAATGCAAAAAGCGGGCAAAAGCCACTTTCAATAATTTATTTTAAAATCGATGCTAATGAGATTCTGTCTTGTCAGCGGCCGAGTTTTACAATAAAGCCTGATTTATTTAGAAAAGATTTTTTTTTTCGGTGCAGCTTCCCGTCTAATGGGGGGAGCGGTCACGGTGACCCCCCGACTCGGGATACAATTTGTAATTGGCAGCAGAGGTCTGACCTGGTTTGCATCGATCAGCGCCGGGGCCACGGAAAGCACCGAGCACTTCGCTGCCCTGGCCTCAGCGCCGTGGGATCAGCAGAAAAACCAAGCTCGGATCCTGTTGGCTTTGCCTAAAGGTGACAGCAAAGCCACATCCCCTGAGTTGCAATGGGGACACGTCTTCTGCCCCGTGCCAGGGCTACCCCCTGCTCCCCAGCAGCGGTGCAAGAGCAGTTTGCTCCCCGAAACATTTGGGAATTGGGCTTTATTTATGTTATTTTATTAGGTTGCTTCTAGGCTTTACGGCCACAGAAGGAAGCCTGGGCTGGAGTGGCAGCTAACGTGGGTGCTGGGCACCCGACTCCCCCCAGAGCAGCTCAGGCTGGTTGTACATGCCTTGGTGGTAAATAATCTCATTTAAACTTATTTGCATGTAGATCCTTGCTCCCATCAGCCTCTAGCCCTTTTTGGGGGCTTTCCCCGTGACTTCCAGACCCTTCATCCTTAACCTTTCCCGTGGTGTCATTTTTTATTATTTCCTTGCACCCTCTTTCCTCTCACCCCACAGCCGTGCCCGCCTGCCCACCCTCTGGTGCCTGGGGTCCTCTTTTTCCTCCTTGATTTCTGCTTCTGTCCTCTGTCCTTCCTCACGTTTCTGTCCTGGCCCTTCTCCCTGACATCTTGTTCTCTCCAGGCTGCGAGTCCCGCGCAGGAAGCATCTCTTCCTATAAGGCAAAGTGCTGCCGAAATTTATGAGGCCATAATAAGTGATTTGTTTTTACCAGTGTTAACAACAATTCATATTTTTATGCGACGCGTTTTAAAATATTATCTGTGACTTCCTCCCTTCCACTCTTCACAATTAAGCCGGGAATTTATTATTCTGACAGTCGGATGCTCTCGCAGCCCTCTGCCTGCCTGGGGGTTTGGTGTAGCCGCACCGCTCACAGCCCTTCCCCTGACTTCTCTGCTCTGTTTCTCCCCCCTGCTAGATGAGGAGGAGCTGGAACCCCCCTTCCCAGAGGACAGCGATGATGCCGGGACCAGACGGAGCAGCGGTAAGAGCCCACCCTGCTTTGGTCAACCCAAAAGCCCTACAGGTCATGGTCGGGGGGTCTGAGTCCAGGAGCCTGCGAGCATCCTGCGGTGTGAGGGGTGATGGAGGACGGGAGAGGCACCAAGAGAAGACCAGTAGGTGACAGAGGAGACTCTGCAGCTGCTGCAAGTCAGATAACTCGGGTTTGGGGAGCTCTCCCCATCTTCTCCAGGCATGGGAGATGCCTCTTTTTGGACAGACGCCCCATGGCAGGTGGCCTTAGTGAGCTCTCGGCGGTGGAGCCCCAAAATCCATCCCCCTTCCTGCCTGGTGAGATCTATGTGATGAAGGATCTCCCGTGGAAGCACTCCCATCCCTGTCCCACAGCCCGTCCTGGACCACAGAGAGGGAACCAGCCCTCCCCAGGGGTCGGGGAGAGGATCCAGGGCAAAAGCAGCCTGAAGAGAGGGCAGGAAGGGAATCAGCCCAGAGGAAGCCACCACAGGGAGGGATCTCGGCACGGGAAGCCCGAAGGATGTGCACCGTCACCCCAGGAACCAGCACAGCCCCAGAGCCTGACACGGTCACCAAGGCCCCCACCCCTGCTTTTTCCTTAAGGACCCGCGCCGAGGGACGGGAGCGGAAGGTCTGTTTCCTCCCCGGTCCCACCTGCTTCTCTTTCCATCGCCGCATCCGTCGCGGCACAGGAAAACGGGGCTTGTGTCCCAGCAGCC